TAGAGTGGTAGTTTTTAAAATACCAATAGAGAGGGAAAGAGTCTTCACATTAACTATCAATGCTATCCCCTCTGTACACAGGGTAGGTAGGGACGGGCAACTTAGACATTGGCTGTCTAAAATGAGGGGGCAATAAAGGCACGAAGTGACTGGCTTACAAGAGTTGAGTTTAGTTTAAGAGTATGGGGGGAACTAAAGAGTCCTCACTGAATAGCTGTCATCTTGTCTAGATGGGTCTGGAGAAAAGAGATGGGGATAAGATTCATAAGATTCAATAGTGAATAATTGTTATCATGACTAATCGCGACTGTCATAATTATAAAGGTAGAAGTTTTGTAACAAAAAAAGGGGAGTGGTTAATCTTACAGTCCAGAAACAGAGGACCCTAGGACCATCAAGAGAGAAATGCACAAGCAGAATGCGGGACCTTATCCAGAGAAGCAGCAGCGCCAGAGATGGAGGCAGAGATGGGGGCATGGAGAGGGGGAGCAGCTGAGGACTCTAGATTCATGGACTAAGAAGAGAAGGACTAAGAGCTGGTGGCCAGGAGCAGATTTGCAGAATGTGCCCTTTGGAGATGTAAATTATTATATATGCCTGAGTGGGTTTTTTTGTTTGTTTGTTTTTTAAAAAGCTAAAGTGGATACAGAGAAATACTGTTAACTGATGGTACATGGAGGGGATTATAATCATTGTAATGAAACAAGGTATATGATTTGTTAAATGTTGATGATATGCCCTGTAAACTTTCACTCAATGCACAATAGAAACCTTAAAAAAAAATTATCTAATTAAAAGCTACTCTTTGTTAAGTACACTTTAGAACTTTTGTTTCTGATCATGGTGGGCCAGATTATGTAGACCAACTTCTATCTGAAATAACAGAAAATGCTGGATACAATACAAAAACATGTTGAGATGTTGAAGAGCCAAAGTTGGAAGAAACTACCAGGCCAAAAGAAAGTAACAACCTGGGAGGTTAAGCTGTTCTCACAGGGTATTTGCCTGCACCCTAAGCAAACTTGGGTTTTGCTGTTAGTGTCTTCAAGGGATTAAGGACACAAGGAATCTTAGGAGAACCTATTTGTGCTGGGACCCAAGGACTCTATTCTTAATCAGAATTAACAGGAAGAAGACTGTAAGGAAGAACACCTTGGCATTGAGCAGAACATGGCAAAATGCAAAAGAATCTTGGGCATCTGCGGTTAGTTGGCATAACAAAGTCCACAGACATATTCTACGCCTGACTTTTTTGAGTAACAACTGGGATCTTAAAAGTTCATGAGTGGCCATTTAAGATGCAATTATTGGTCTCTCAGTGTGTGGAGGAAAGAAGGAAATGAAAATTGAGAATGCTTGGAATAAATTAGTCCATTGGAAGAATGGACCATGTGAACATCCGTCACCATGACCCTGAGACCAAAAGAACTAGATGGTGCCCAGCTACCACTACCAACTGTTCTGAAAGGGAGCACAATAGAAGGTCCTGGATTGAGTGGGCAAAATGTGGAGCAAAACTCAAAATTATAACAAAAAAGAGCAGGTTTACTGGTTAGAAAGAGACTGGTGGAACTCAAGACTATGACCCTCGGTCACCCTTCAGGCTTGGAATTGAATTCACCCTCCTGGCTCAATTTTCAGCCAAGCAGTAGATAGGTTTCTAGTGGAGGACAGCAACACCAGTGAGGTATGCACACTGTGGAATGGTCAACCATTCAAGATAAGGGCAGCATTTACTGAAGGTCACAATTCCGAAGGGTTAGGAAGGAGGGAGGAATGGAAACACAAGTAACAGGGAGGAAGTGGGATGAGTGATATTGCATGGAGGGGATTGCAATCATTGAGATGAAATGAAGTAAACGGTTTGTTGAATGTAACTCTGATGATCTTCTCTGTAAACCTTCAATCAATTCACAGTAAAAAGTTTTAAAAATAGAGAATCTTGTGCCTGAGATATGAGGGACATGAGTTGTTCTTCATCCAAGATGATACCACTCACTAATCCAGTGAACCTGCCATGGTGAACTTAGCCCAAGAGGGTCCCCAGACTCATTACTCTCTCAACTGCTTGGCAGAAGCAAATACAAGTCCTCTGGAGGAAATCTACTCATTCTAGGCCACCACCATGGAGCTTGTTGCTTATGATAGAAGACAAAGGGAATTATCGTTAGATCATGATTTGGTGGGTTGTCAATCCATGCCTGTCATGGGTGGGATTCCAGAACCTGTATGGGGATGCAGGTGGTAGGAAGGACCATGATTGGGAATATGCACATAACTCAAAAATTTTAAATGTTATCAATTGGTTCTGGGGTTTTGATTACCCTGCTACATATGACCCTGATTCATAGTCACCAGGACCCCAACTTTTAAATTAGATAACTTGCCACTGTTTATGGTAGATCATTAAGGACACACCCAGGCAAATTCCCTAGTTATCTGTATAGCTCTGAACTACCTGTCTGGAAGTTGTACTTTACTTTCAACTGCATTCTTCCTGAGGGCAAGCTACCACTCCTTGGGCTTGTCCAGACTTGTCTAAGCATTGCCACGTTGTCGAAGTAATTTAAAGAACTCAAATGGCATCTGAATTCATGTCAAGAATTAAAATGGATTTAGTGCTTCCACTGTAGAATGAAGCCTTCCACAACCAAGTGCTTTAGAATTTAAACTCTGATCCAAGGCCTAGGATGTTCCCCAATCCTCATTGGATGTCCAGCCTCTGGTTCAGGACCAGATAAGAGGCCAGCATGGTGGCCTGGGTTAAGTCCCTTCTCTCCAGACCTGGAAAGGTGTTACACTATCAAGGAAAACCTCTCTGGGCTGCCCACGGGTCTGTCAGGACTTGCTTTGAAAACTGATCTCCACTCCAACGTATAATGCCTTGAAGAAATTGGATTTGTCAATGACTTCATTCAATTTGGATCACCAACCCACATCCATGGACTTAGAAGTAAGAAAGCAAACATTTTGCATTGGAAAAGGCTACTGCAAAATATCTCTTTAAAATAAAAATATGTGGCTTTGATGACTAAGTGCTCCCAAGCCAAGCCAGGGTTTTTCTGGTCATCTCACATTCTGGCCAGTGATAACACAGAAGAACTGACATATTTCAATCGTGGTGTTGGCCAAGAACACTGGACAAACTCTGGACTCCCAGACGAGTGAACAAATCAGTCTCAAAGAAACACAACTAGAATGTTCCTTAAAAGTGAAGATAGCAAGCTTAGTCTACGTAGAGATTCCTTATGCTCATATCTTATTAATCAAGTGTTCTGGAAGACCCATTCTTCACAATGCTATCCACAGCTTATTTCAATGAAGCCTTTATAAAATCAATAAAGCTCAAGTAAACATCTTTAAAAAACAAAAACAAAAAGTGAGGATGGCAAGACTTCAACTTGACTCATGGTGACCTCATCTATTTCAGTAGAACTGTACTCCATCGGGTTGTCAATGGCCTTTCTTCTGCGGTACTACTGGGCCAATTCACCAACATATTGGTTAGTTGTTGTTAGTGCCATTGAGTCAGTTCTGACTCACAGCGACCCTGTATAGGGTTTCCAAGGAGCAGCTGGTGAGCTTGAGCCACTGACCTTGCAGCTCAAACTGACCTTGAGGCCCAGGGCTTTTTCTATAGCATCACACCAGCCAAGAGCAAAACACTTGTGCCATCCGGGGATGGCTTGTGGAAGAAGCCAGGGAGGGAGAAGTTACAGATTCAGGAAGGGATGAAGTCGTCAGGGTGAGAGGTCTCCCTGGAACCAGGAGGATGCAAAAGAATCTGACAGTTCAAAACAAGGGCTCAGCCTCCATCAGGTAGAGGGACAGCTGCTTCTGGACCCTCCTAGAAAACAGGAAGGTATAGGAGGGAGATGCTGATATATTCTTATGCTTCTAGCTAGCAAGGGTTAGCCCCATTTCATGGATGGTTGGAAGGTAATATTTTCTCTCAAGTTACCTGGTTAGTTTTTTCTGTCTTCAAATCCACGTCCTTTTTTTTTTCTCCCCATTGTCATTATTTTGTTGTTGTCATTTAAGATTTATCCTGGTGGTACATATATTACAAAACATTTGCCATCTCAACCATTTTTATGTGTACATTAGTACAATATGGCATTAGGACATTGAACTGCTGACCCGGAGGTTAGCAGCCCGATTTGTAACCACTACACTACCAGAGCTCCTTTAATGGGACTTAGCACATCGCAATTCAGTGTTCACCAGCATGCACATTACCTCCAATCTTATTCCTAACAAGCATGATTCTTGAAATCAAGAAGCCTTCTTCTTCTGGCCCATGAACCATAAGGCTTACCTGAAACTGAGATGGTTTCTTCAGAACCATCTCACCTGAAATCTCCAGTCATTTCCCCTTAAAGAAGATGTCTCCATGGACTCATCACTAATTGGTCCACAATCAAAGTGAACACTGGTGGCTTTGCCCTTTGAGTTGTTGAGAAGGCTGTGATTCAGCTGTGGGCTATCAATGACCTCAACCAGGCCAGTCCTTTGTAGCTGATAGGGTCAGGCTGTCTTTGCCACATTTGTCCCCTGAATGAAGCTCTCTGTGCTTTGGAGTGACACCACCATACAAGAGATTGAGGGGGAAGGGAAGTCCTAAACTACAATGCCTAGGGGTAGGGGTGGCAGGATGAATAAAAGACTGGGACAAGGGGGATCACATATGGGTCAATGATGTAAGTATACTTCAGGATTTCAGACATGGAGACAAATGAGTGGAGAGGACAGTGACCACAGGACAGCCCAGGGACACTCTATGCCCCTCCAACTGGGCATCAGGTGTAGTTCTTCATCACTGGACCCGGGGGATTTTCAAGAGAATTTGATCTTTCAAGAGACTTCATGTGATTGCTCTGAAGAGAGCCCCCCACCCCCTGTGAGGACAGGATAAGGAAAGGGTTCCAGGGAGACCTCCATGGGAGGGGCACCTAATTCAGGCGGATCCGCAAAGAGAGAAGCCAGGGAGGCTTACAGAGATGCTGGGAACCGTGCCTGCCCATCAGGGCCTCCACAGGTGCGGCATTGTAGCTCTATGGGTTCATAAAGTGGCTGAGTGCCCCTCTGATCCTGCCCGCCAGCCCATGCCGCTGCGGAGATTCGGTAGAAGGGATTTAAAGTATGAATGCATTTGCAAAGGCAGTGTCTTCAGGGCCGGCTGGGCCCCTAGATGGGGCGTCCTCATTAACTGTCATCTAATTGAGTGCTAATTAACCACAACTTGAACCCAAGCCAGGAGCGCCCAGAGGCTACCTGCCCAGCAGTAATGGCAGAGACCTGACGGGGAGCCCCCCGCCCGTCATTTTTCCTCCGCTCTCCGCACCCAGTGGGCGACAGTGACCAGCCCGGGCGGCTGCGCGCACCCCGAGGCCACCAGCCGCTCGGGCCACCAAGGGTTAAGCGCATCGAGCTGGCGGCGGC